CAGCGCCTCCTCCCAGACTCCCTCCCTTCCTCGCTCCTCACCGCCCCCGGGCGGGCGGGCGGCCAGGCTGGCCTAGGCCAAAGCTCCTCACCTGGCGGTGGCGGTGTAACTCCCGGCTAGCTCGCCTCCTCAGGCGGCGGCGGAGGCGTCGAAAAAGGAAGAGGCGACGGCACAGTAGGCTCCGGACCCCGCTGACGGGACCAGGGACGGGGGTGGGGGAGGGGGGTGGGCCGGACCGGGGCGGGCGGGCGGAGCAGACACTGCGGTACAGACGGGGGCAGCGGCGGCGGCGGCGGCTGCACCGGCGGCGGCGGCACCACACAAACAAGGACGCTGATTGGGCAGCTGCCAAGCGCCTCGGCTCCGCCTTACCCACACGCCACGACGCCCATTGGTCGACCTAAGCCGGCCACCCCGCCCTCTTCTTCTCAGCCATACCAATAGAAGACAGGATGCCGGGAGTTCACCCCACCCTTGGAGAGTGAGTGGCTGGAGAAGTGATGATTGGCGTACACAAGACCCAATCATAAAAGGAGGAGGGGGATGGTCTAGCGGGGCGCGTTAATGGGTACCTCGGCCAGTCCCAGACACATCCGGGTCTTCGACAGCCCATTAAGTGTCGGGGGTCAAAAAATCGCTTCAGGCTGCAACTTTACCTTAGAGACGTTTTGGTCCCCAGGCAGCCGCCGTACCCCAGTCTCCCCAAACCGGGATTCCCCTTTGGCCAGCTCTCATTCTTTCAATTCTAAAGATGGAGACTGGCGGACGGCACTGGGGTCGCCTGTGGGCGGTGTTTCATCGCGACAGAATCCAGGAATTTCACGATACAACTAGCTTTAGGCGCTTGGGCCTTGCTGTGTTTTTGGGGTGTGGCCTGTCTCCGTCTGCCAAAGGCCTCGAGCTTCCTGGTGTTCGTCGTACTTCTGTCTGGTCCTGTCGTGACTAAACCACGACAGCAGGGGGAAAAAAAAGGCAGCTAGCCAAATTTCCGAGGAATTAGTGTGTGCAGAGCCCACGCGGCGCCCTCTCTTGGGATCTCCTGGTCTGGTTGGGTTCACCCCACCCGACTCAAGGCCCCGCTCCTCCGGCTAGCCTCCCTGCCTCCCCGAAGCAACCAGGCCCGCCTAAACTCTGCTAGCGCAAACCGCAAATATTGTTAGTGACCACCTTGAGGATAAGGACCAAGTTAACGTTTTCGGCAGCAGACTGTGCCAGGCACTGTGCTAACAGCTTTACATGAATTGTCTTATTTATGTCTCATAACTCTAGGTAGGTACTATCATCCCTGCTTTACAGACGAGAACAGTGATGACCAGATCAAATGACTTGTCCAAAGTCACACATGTTAAGTGGTAGAGCTGAAATTTTACTCCAGGTAAACCAGGAAACTGAGGCTCAGAGTTAAGTAACTTGCTAAAGGTCAGGTCAGACAACCAGTGATTTTGACACAGAAATAACAGGTTCCAGAGGTATTCACACGTTTTTCAAGTCATTTAGAGATCATGTTGTGAAATGGAAATTAAGTTGTAATGGAAGACATGGCACTATAAAGCCATAGGTAGATCCGAAGCAGACACAAACACAGAGGCATGCCCTAATGTTGTTTTTGAAACAAGGTTTTGCTCTGTCACCCAGGCTGGATGCAGTGGCACGATCATAGCTCACCGTAACCACGAATTCCTGGGCTCAAGCGATCCTCTGGACTCATCCTCCTGAAAAGCTGGGACTACAGGTGTGCACCACCATATCCATCTAATTTTTTTTTTATTTTTTGTCGAGACAGGGTCTCACTGTGTTCCCCAAGAAGGTCTCGAACTCCTGCCTTCAAGTGATCCTCCTATCTTGGCCTCCCAAACTGCTGGGATTATAGGCATGAGCCTGGCCTTCCAGCGTTTTATTAGGATGGCAGGAGTTCAAGCTACAGTGAGCTATAATTGTGCCACTGCACACCAGCCTGGGTGACAGACCAAGACCTTGTCTCTAAAAAAATAAATTAGGAATAGGGTCTTGCTCGATTGCCCAGGCTGGCCTTGAACTCCTGGGCTCAGGTGATCATCTAACCTCAGCCTGAGTAGGTGGGACTAATGTGCACATCACAGCACCTGGCATTGGCACCCAATCCTTAGTTTCAATGGACTTTTAAAAAAACTTTACTGGATGTGGTGGTTCACGCCTGTAATCCCAACACTGGGAGGCCGGATGAGAGAATTGCCTGAGTCCAGGGGTTTGAGACCAGCCTGGGCAACCTGGTGAGACCTTGTCTCTGCAATAAATCAAAAAATTATCTGGGTGTAGTGGCATGCCCCTGTGGTTCCAGCTACTTGGAAGGCTGAGGAGAACGGATTGCCTGAGCCCAGCAGATCAAGGCTGTGGTGGCCATGAATGTGCCACTGCACCTCAGCCTGGGTGACAAGAGTGAGAATCTGACTCAAAAAAACCTTCTATTTATATGCTGATGTAGTGTCCAGGTAAAGAGAATGGTCTCTGGAGTCAGACTGCCTGGATTTAGATCTTAGCTCTCCTTCTTAGCCGTTGTGTGATTTGGGTGCAAGCTACTTAACTTCTATTCTCTATGCCCTAGGTTCCCCATGTATAAAATGGGAATGAGAAGAGTACTTAGCTCATAGAGTAGTTGTGAAGGATTATAAAATAATACATTGAAAATGCTGCCAGGAGTGGGGCTCACACCTGTAATCCCAGCACTTTGGGAGGCAAAGGCGAGAGGATTGCCTGAACTCATAGGTTCGAGACCAGCCTGAGCAACATGATGAGACCTCATCTCTACAGTAAATCATAAAAATAGCTGGATGTCGTGGTGCATGCCTATAGTTCCAGCTACTTGGAAGGCTGAAGCAGAGGTCACCTGAGCCCAGCAGGTAGAGGCTGCGGTGGCCATGAGCGTGCTACTGCACTCTAGCCTGGACAACAGAATGAGACTCTACCTCAAAAATAATAAATTAAATAAAAAGAAACAGCTCAGGACAAGCCTAGGCAACATAGCGAGACCTCGTCTCTTTAAAATTAAAAAAAAATAAGTACACACTTGTAGTACCAGCTACTGAGGAGACTGAGGCAAGAGGATTGCCTGAGCCCAGGAGGTTTAATAAATAGTAACTATTGGCAGCAGAGAGATACTGCCTGAGGAGGAGGGAGAGGGGCACATAACATCAATAAGGGTACCTGATCTCAAACCAGGCAAAGACCAAAGGGAGGCCCAAACTTTACCTGTACAATGTCTACTTGTATACCTTATCCTGAATTGTACCCCACATCTTTAAAACAATATATATTTATTAAAGTGGTATGCCTGAATCCAGGGTTTGAGACAGCCTGGGCAACTTGGCAAGACCTCATCTCTACAATAAATCAAAAAATTAGCCGGGCATGGTGGCCCATGCCTGTAGTTCCAGCTACCTGGAAGGCTGAGACAGAAGAATCACCTGAGTCCAGCAGGTCGAGGCTACGTGCATTCCAGCCTGGGTGACAGAGTGAGACTCCAACTCAAAAAAAAAATAATAATAACTGTTTTTT